TCCAGGGGGGTTGTAAGTCATAGCATTAGAGAAAGTAAGTCGTATATCTGCAGCAAATTCCAATGGACTAGAATATTCACCTGAAGCAATCTTGCTCTTCACTGTCCCCAAATCCATTGGATGCTTAATCACAGTAAAATAATCAGGAATGTTGAACTTGACCACATCAACTGGAGTGTTAAACATATAACCTTGCGGTTGATTCATCAAGCGATTAAGTAAAGTCTCACACTGTTGCATAAATATGCCTTCTGAGTTACTTGCAGATACAGCTTTCTTCGCTACTTTAAAGTGCCCAGAGGCAGTCCTTTTTGTGCGGGCCCCATAGCGTCCTGGAGCTCGTTTCTTGCCCTGTGAACTCAAAAACCCTGATTTATTCCGGAAATTATCCAGTGGCAACCTCTTCTGCCCATCAGGGCAGCTCCAAATATCACTAGAAGGTGAAAATGCAACCACATTAGAACTTAAAGAGGCAACTCTTTTCTGAAGTATCCGGACCTGTTCAAGTTCCAATTTCAACCTTGACTCCAAATCTTTCCTCTCACTCTTTGACATCCTTGACAATGACAGGACTTGCATTGGGACACCAAAACTATCATAGCTTTCCGTGTTCAAACAAATGCATTTCCTTTTTGGAGCATAGGAATCCTCTGAAGCTGTCATCTCCATATCAACTCGCCCTGAACTTCCCAAACCCTCCGACTCAGCCATGGTCTCCACAGCATGCCGATAATCAGGTATAAAACCAGAAGCATGCCCTTTAGAGTACTTCCTAGATTTCCCTATCATTTGTACAAATGAACAAGTTTTTGATTCCCTCTGTCCAAGGAAGTCTATGGGAACAGTTGGTGCCATAAGATCAACTTCCAAGAGCTGCACATATCAACTTTGACTATAAGTTTTGTACTCTTTCATCAACTTCATTAAAAACCAGATCCCCAGTTTTAGTCACAATATCTAGCTCTGAGACACGTTACAAGTGATTGGAAAAGGTTATTCCCATTCAAAACTTAATTTTTTTAAAAAATCGAAATGAGGTCAAAAACAATACTTTAGAATCCTCAACTCCCGTGTCTGCAACATCCTTGAAGTTATATGGTGAGTCCAAAAGTTCTAAAATGTCATCATGTTAACATTTCACAGTCTTCTGTATTATGCACAATACAAATCTTTACATACTTGTTTATGATAGTACCTTATCCTTTTCATACCACGAAGAATGACGAATATTTATAAACCCAGAGTAAAACCTTCACTGATCAATATCCAAGAAATACGACACCGAAAGTTCCAAACTAGATTTCCTTATAATGCCGCTCAAACGCTCAATTCACTCAACTTCTTCATTCTCGAAGCACAAAGAATACCCAAAATAATCCTTTTGAAAAAAATCGATGAAATAATTGAACCAAAAAGAATTAATACTTACGCGAGCAGAAAAGACGAATCCTAGATCCTTCGAGCATAAACCCCATTAAAAGAAAGCCCTAGATCGAGTCGACCCTTAGGAATTGCAACGAGACGGGCGCAAACAGAAAATTGGTTGTTTATAAAACCCTAGAATCTGCTTCACGAGAATCCAATACAAAACCTAGATCTCGCAAAGGGTACCGTTCATTCGAAGAAGACGGTAAGCGGGAGAAAGAAATCCTTCCTCGCAAATCTTGAAACAAGAAAAAGAGAAGAGAAAGAAAGAAAAAAAGGGAGCGGTATA